ATGTGGACAAGGTGAAGCATTACACAGCAATCATTTTAGAGTAATCGAGATAAATAAAGCATAAAGATCAAAAGTGATTAACTTCTGATTGCCACCATCAGCATGCAAAGAACCCTAAAGAGCTGAGCGGAGGTTTATTATCCTCCAACTGAATATGATTTTGAACACAGAATAAAAATAAACAGGATTTACGTGCTTTTAAATGCAATTTCAATACAAGAGCTGATGGAGTATATAAGGCAATAACAAGAACTTTGAGAAGTCAGAGTGGTGTTGCTTTGGGAATGGTTTGTAGGTAGGGATCTACTTAATTTGCAGTTTTGCAGAAACCACAAAAAAAAACAGCGTTGTCCACAATCACCAGGAAATATTGCATTGGCCACGATTTCCCATGAAATCAACCTAAACCTCCCCCCTGCCCGGCATGTTATTCATATAATACACAACAGTGTAGAATGCCCCAGTGTTTACTGCGTTACAGAGATAATGTGACAATCACTGCAGCCGTGATCATGTGATTGAGAGGTTACTGTGTGCTGTTGACGTAGACTAAGTGAAGGTGCCAGTCAGCAAAGTGAAAATGTTTCTATTAAGGTTAGAATTAATTAGTATTTTTAAACTTTTTTTAGAACATTACATGTAACCTTTATAATATATTTAAGTTTGTATTTAAATTTTAATATTTATAGTATATGCCACTCCACCAATCAGTGGTGAGGGGCAGGGCTGTCAGGAAATGCCTACCGAATCAGCTTTTCATGCTGTGACCAAGTCATGAAAATTGCTTTGTCTCTTTGGGAGTTAAGTAGACCCCTATTTATAAGGAGATACTTTGGAGCACAAGGACCTGATGCATTGACTGGAATAGTATTTCATCACCAAGTGGCTGATCCTGATTGATCTGTGAGCACTAACACTTTAGGCACTGGAATGGGAAGCATTCGCTTAAAGAATTAGGGTTGTAATCAGGAATGTATTTACTTAGTCTCATTTCTAACAATCACTCATGAATGTTAATATTTTAGCCCTCATAAGATACAAATACTTGCCTCTGAATTACAAAATATACAACTAGGGCTTCATCCTTCAAAAATGTACTGCTGGTACATTGCTTACTACCATGGGTTAATCTTTTTAATTAAAGTACTTGAGGCATTATGCATTAGCCTTGTTAATAAGTGTTTTCCATAATGATCCCTTACTATGTAAATATGAATATGTATTCATATTTATATAAACAAATGTATATATTTCTACTGTTTATGCTGAGAAGAAAAAGATGTGAAACTTTGGAGTTTTGCCTCTTTCACAAATAAAAAGTAATTTTTGTTGGGTAAATAATATAATGTGGAACATAAGATAAATGATCACATTGTGACAAACAAGACACTAGAACACTCACATTTATGCATGAGATTCTGACCAATTCTGATTGCATTCTGAATTTTGTCCAAAATAAATCTGACACATAACAGAGAACACTGCATTTGGCAAAACAGTATCTGTAGGAGATGGTAGCAGAAGAGGAAAGATTGAACCCAGAGTATGAAAAAGGCAGATACAGTGCCAAAGAAAACACTCATGCTTCAAAAAGACTTACCCATTTTGTCTGAAACTGAGAATCCTAGCAAAAAGAGAGGAGAGAGCATTCTTACTGAGGAAGAGGAGAAGTTAGCATGTGAATGTGACAGATTAGAGGAAACCTTACATGTTTCATAGCAAAGGAAAAGAGAACCTTGGCCCCATGTCTGTAACCAGGAAGGAATTCAGATCTGCATCACCATTGAGTTATCTTTCATGGGACAGATTAAAGGAATTTGGAAGGAAATCTGCAAGGGGTGGCATGGACTTCAACAAAGGGGAGAATGAAAACATACATAACACTATTTGATCATAGTTAGAAATCCCCATAAACCCTTGCATTTTCAGCCCCGAATAGTCGGACACAGCTACTGAGGGAAAAGGGACTTGATTCTGAACTCACTCAGTGGTAGCCTTTTAAGATGCTTTTATTTGCAGAATTTCTCCCTTCCTAAATTGGGCTTCTCATTTTTTGTCTCCGTTCATCACCTTGGCATTAACCTCAAAACCAGTTCCTTATGTTTTGTATCCCCTGTGTCTGCCAGTAAATTAGTCATACCTAGGCAGCATGATTCTGTGATTTCAAAGTCTGTATGGATTTCTTAAAGATTAGGTGAATACAGAAAGTGCCTCAGTCCATACCATGACAGGCAGGGCCAGAGGGTCTGTATGCATGGCAGGGAGATCAATGTGCAAAACCTATAAAGGAAACTGATCTTTCTGCTGAACAGTCCCTAAACTACAGTCCATGCTACAGGGGTTAACTGGCCCAGACCCACAGAATTTGCTACAGGCTGCATAGGTCTGGAGAGATGAGGATGGAGCAGTGCAGATGTTTGCATTCCAAAATGGTATCAACAGCTGCGGAGTAGCTAGAGTATTCATAAAATCTAAGCAAGCAACAGGATCTACTTACAGTTAGTGCTTCAGCAGTGCTACAAAATGGCAAAGATTGCTGTCTAAAGCAAGCAGTATAGGTATGATAGGTGAACACTGAACAGTGTTTTTTAATTTAATAATTGCAATTTTTCTTATACTTTCTGTTGGCCATGCCCTGCAGTCATTCAGTTAAATCTCCATCAGTGCTAGGGAGTAAGGATTTCAGAACTGGGGTCTTCAATATTAATGATCCTATACTTTTACTTTACTGTACTGAAATGTCTGTCTCAAGCTCTGACTGCTGTCTAATTATACAATAATGGACCAAGAATAGCTAAATAGAAGATAGTATAGTTAAGGTGGATTTTTTTTGCATTGAGGCATATATATAAATGTGAAGTGCAGTTGCTTACCTAGACCATAATATTGCCTCTGCGTGGAGTCCATTTGAAGCTAACTGAATTCGGCAGGATCACAAGGGTATGTCCAAGTGGTATACCTTAGAGAATCAAGGTCTTGGCTTGGATGTCCAGTTACTTTGACTGTACACACAATTGTAGTGTGTACACACACAAATTATGTACACAACTTAATTTTTGAATGAACAACTTTGAAAATTTGGACTGAAAGCCAGTGCAGTGATTCTCAACCTGAGTGCTATGGCATCCTGAGGCACCACAAAATCCTTTTAAGGGTGTGTGTGTGTAGAGTGGGGGGACACATAAAATATCAGCATTTTTAGGTGTGCTAACACCTACACATGATTCACAAGATAAACCCAGAGATTTCAAATAGGAATCCGTAGTGTCAGAAACATTTTGACCTGTTGTGGGTTTTATGAGTTCTTTGCAACAGAAGAATTGCCCTATTATTTTTCTATAGTAAAAAAGAGGGGCAGTTTGAGTCTGAAAATGTTGATCACCACTGTGATAGTACATACAAGATACAAATCTTAATTATACAACAAAACAAAAACCTAATCCCACAGCAAGGTTAATTTCCCCATCCTCTTCCCCTCTCCCTCCCCCCGCCCCCCCAGCCGCCCCAAAATGGTCAAAATCAAACATTTTATGTTGTGGTGCCCATGTCACAACACCTTGCAAGAGTCTGGCTGGCCAAATGACAAACTAAAGCAAGTGAATGTGGTTTAAATAAAACTCAGTGAGAGTTTGTGATGATTTGGAGAATCTGT